CAAAGGGAAGAGGTAGAAGGTTGAAGACTTTCATGAGGGTCAGTGTGGAATAAAGTCTTCCCAGCTCAAACCTGTGTCCATTGTTCCTGGAGGACATCATAAATCCCGCTCTAAATCGCCTGCTTTTTTTCTAGCTATTCTGTGTTACATTGAATCTCTTTCAGTCAGGGAGCGAGGGATAGAAACCATGGGATATTTACATATTAGAAGCAGATAATTCTGTCTATGGTGTCTGTCCTGGTGCTCCCTCTCACTGGAGCTCTTTACTCTATCTCCATTCCCTGCTCTCTCCCCATGGTGTCTGAGCGGGTAACTCACTTGATTAATCCATAAATTGAAGGTTGTATGCAACCAAGGGAGGCAATTTCCAATTAATATTTTGACTAATGACTTTGCCAATGGGCTGTCAGGTTTGCATGGCTTATGGCTTCTCATTGTATTTGGTTAAAAAACAATCCTCAGCCAAATTCTGTGTGAATTTGGGACTGTCAGTGACTGCTATCTGTGTTTTCTTTGCAGTCACTCTGGGAGACGTCATGTCGCCCCCCTACTGGGACGCACAATTTTCAGAGTGAAAAGGGATAAACTTGAAATAACTCTTTATTTTACAAACAAAGGAAGATTCAGGATAAAGAACAGATATATAGTAACAACAAGGCATGCATGATAGACGTCCAATTAGAGAAGGTGAATTAATTTGTGATCCAAAGCAGGGAGTTGTTCAGTTAACCCAGCACAGACCCAAGAGTTTAAAAATAAGATCGCTACTTAATCTCATTCCCTGCTCTCTCCCCATCATGTCAATCCTTATGCTCATTCCCCGTTGGAGCTCTCTACTCTAATCCCATTCCCTGCTCTCTCCCCCTAATTTCTGTGCTGGTGCTCGCTCCCCCACTGGATTCATAATAACTATAATCATTTGAATAAAAATACCACTTTTCTGATAAAAATAAATGGTTCACAAAATACAGATTATAAGTTAAATTAATGTTATAGAGGTGATAATATTATAATAATAATGTAATTATTAATTATAATAATGTAGTATTACTAATGTGGCTATGTCAAGTGATTAAAATGTGAAAAATATGAACTAGAGGAAATCAGGAAATACAACAACAACAAAATTACATTTGTAAAGTGCCTTTCATGTCGGGAGGATGTCCCAAAGCGCTGGATAGACAGAGTTACAGACCCGAGCTGGGCGTCAGGGTGGGGGAGGGTGGAGGGAGTGGGGGAAGCAGGGAGATCGAAAGCACGGTCGAAGAGGAGGGTCTTGAGATGGGTCTTGGAGGTGGTGAGGGAGGGGGTGAGGCGGAGGGACTGTGGGATGGAGTTTCAAAGGGTGGGGGGGCAGAGTGGTGGAAGGCCCACCCATTGGGAGATGTGAAGCAGGCTGGAGCCCGCTGCGCGGAGGGAGTGAACAGGATGGTAGGGGTTTAGGAGGTCGCAGAGATAGGGGGGAGCAAGACTGTGGAGGGCTTTGAAGGTGAGGACCAGGATCTTGAACTGTATCCTCTGTGTGATGGGAAGCCAGTGGAGTTGAGCAAGGATGGGGGTGATAGGGTCACGGAGTCTAGTGCGGGAGAGGACACGGGCTGCAGAGTTCTGGAGTTGAGGAGGCCGACAAGTAATGAGTTTGCATAGTTGAGCCTCGATGTAATGAAAGCGTATATGAGGGTTTCGGCAGCCTGCAGTGTGAGACAGTGTCGGAGCTGGGTGACATTTGCAGAGGTGGGGGAAGGCAGAGCTGGTCATGGTGCAGATGTGGGGTGGAAAGGATAGTTGAGGGTCAAACAAGACCCCAAGGTTCCAGACTGGCTTAGCAAGCTGGAGTGTGTATATCGATCTACAAATTGAATGCAGATGTGTGGCAATGTAAAACAAACTTAGTTTCTATTTTCATCGGTGCAACTGGGACTGTTAATAAGACTATTCAAAAATGGCTTGACAAAATACCTGGTGAACAAAATATCAACCTCCTGAAAAGAGTAGCTATTTTAGGAAGCTCAAATATACTAAGAAAAGTAACATCCATTCATATGTAACGTGGCAGTGTTATTGATCTGGCTGACCATCATTGAAAACCACTTAGAAATTTTCTCTACAGAGTGATTTAAACTATAAGACTACTACTACTACTAATAACCTTTGCATTTGATTTGCAGCACCTTGGAACGTCCTCCCGACGTGAAAGGCGCTCTATAAATGGAATCTTGTTGTTGTTGTTGATATAGCTCCTTATCATGTCATCACGATGACTCAAAGTGCTTCACAGGACACAGTGTAAAGTGATATGAATGTATGTATCTTTTGGATGAAACGCGGCAGCTTATCTGTGCCAGTGACATCCATAAACAACAATGAAATGAGCAGCGTATGATTTGAAAATATGGTGGAAAATTTGGGGAATCTAAACCAGGATATCCCAGGAGAAAGATCCCGTGTATCTTTGAGAGAGCGAACATTTCCCTTCACAAGGCAGACAGAGGCTAAAATGAACAAAGGCTGGAATTAAACAGTGAAATTGTGTGTGATGTGTATTGAGGTTTTGTACACAAATGCAGGGTGCAATGTGTGCCAAGGACACCCTACACATTGAGATTGAAATTAGAACTGAGAAAGAGGGAGAGATGAGAAGACAGAACAAGGCAAAAAAAAAAGTCTCCCATCGTTCCTCTTTCCCTAAATCCTTTAATATTATTGGCCTTAAATATGTATCCAATTCCCCTCTACAAGCAGTTCGGAGAATCAGCTTGAACAGCCCTTTGTGAAGACATGCCGTGTGTCCTTCTGTTACTGCCCGCAGATCAGTGCAAATAGATTTTATTTATTTAACTCTCACAAATTTGAAAACCTTTGTTTAGAAACTCATCAAAAAAGTTTTAATTATCTAAGTCTCTCCAGATAACACCCTCTTCTCTCGCTGCTGTTATTTAAGGCAATGCAGCTCTCTGTGCGACTGTGAATGTCTCTCTATTAAAGATGCCCCTCCACTGAACAAGGGCAGCCATGACCAAACACCTCACAAACCAACATCGGCTCCGTGCTTTTTATTCTATACTGCTTGGTGAAATCTAAATTTTCCTTTAAATAAATCATAATCTTTGCGTTTGATACATGCTTGTTAATGACCGCCTTTGTTTGCTCACCCACCTTTACTGCCTTGCTCACTGCCATCTGCACTCCAGGATCTCTTTGTCACTGAAGGCTGCTACAACGAAGGGATGACAGGTAGACACAAACAAGTAGAAAGAAAGAGAGTAAGAAAAACAGGAAGAAAAAAAAGACGAACCAGAGGCAGATAGGCACACAGGGAATAAAATTCCACTTGCCTCTAGATTTACTCTATTTGTGCAACATTTTACCATGTACAACATGTGTCCAGAATTGGGCACAGTCTTTAATTGCAATCTTAATTTCATTTACAGAAAATGGGTTTCAAACTTAAGACTGAATTCCACGATTTGCCAAACTTTGGATGTTCTGAAATGGTGCATTTAAATCTAGAGCCAGGTGGGATTTCAACCTCAACCAAGTCACTGGCAAAAGGATAGAGAAAATAAGGTGGACAGACAGTGAGACTGATGCTTACTTAATACTTGTAACGAGACCGCATGGTATAAGGCAGTATTGTGTTGGGTATGTAGTTATTTTTTCTAGCATTAAGTAGGAGCTTGGTTGTAAATCGATTGGCGAATTGCCTTCTGGGAATAATACTCCCTCAAAAAAATTACAATTATTATTTATTATTAAAATGGTGTGTTCCTGCCCCGTTATTTTCAGATGAGGGTTTGTTGAGCTAATAATAATAATCCTTACATTTGATGTAGCATCTTATCAAGTCATCAAGATGCCTCAAAGCGCATCACATGACATACCATAAAGTAGAGTGACTGTGTATTTTGTGAGCAAAACACAGCAGTCAGTTTGCACACAGCAGTGTCCCACCAACAGCCCAAAGTGAAAGGCGCTATACAAATGTAATCTTGTTGTTGTTGTTGTTGTTGTTGAGTGAGCGACCAATGTATTTGGGGTATGTTGGCCAGGACACCGGGAGAGAGAAATTCAATAGTTGGGTATAAATGTGAAGGAAGGATTTTGGGTGTTACCTGTAATTCACAATAAAGGACTAATTATTAATAATTGATTGGGATGTGTATTATGCTGTTAGCTGTTCTCTCTCTGTGCTTTCATTTATACCTTGCCTTTGATGCAGCCTCTCCATCTCTCTTTCTCTCCTGCCTTTCATGTAAAAATTGGTAGTTTTTGTTTAGGATTTTGGGTGGGGAGGGGGTCTGGGTGGGAGAGGAGGGGGGATACAAAACAGACCCAGATGAACTAAACACATGTTCCCCTTCTCCCCAGAACTCAGCTGTCCAGCGGCTCTCCGAAGGCAATGCTATCTCTTCCGACTAAAGCCACGTCCACAGGACAAGTAATATTAACCCTCTAACTCAACTCTCTCACCCTTGGGAGGGTTAATGCTACTTGTCCCGGTGACGTGACTTTATTTAGTTTGCTTTTCACTGACGTGTTTCTGAGATTAAGTGTGAGCGCGACAGAGCGTGGGGTATAAATAGCAGAGCGCGGTGTCACAGCGCGCAGTCTATCCCAGCACAGCGCACAGGCTATCCCAGCACAGCGCACAGGCTATCCCAGCACAGCGCACAGGCTATCCCAGCACAGCGCACAGGCTATCCCAGCACAGCGCACAGGCTATCCCAGCACAGCGCACAGGCTATCCCAGCACAGCGCGCAGGCTATCCCAGCACAGCGCGCAGTCTATCCCAGCACAGCGCACAGGCTATCCCAGCACAGCGCACAGGCTATCCCTGCACAGCGCACAGGCTATCCTAGCACAGCGCACAGGCTATCCCAGCACAGCGCACAGGCTATCCCAGCACAGCGCACAGGCTATCCCAGCACAGCGCGCAGTCTATCCCAGCACAGCGCACAGGCTACCCCAGCACAGCGCACAGGCTATCCCTGCACAGCGCACAGGCTATCCCAGCACAGAGAGGGTATGTATACTAAAAGGCTCGAGGGACCCCGGAGAGGTCGATCCTTCGATTCGGTGAATTCCTGTTTGGAGGAGAAGCATCTGAATAACGAGGTGAGTGAGACTCAGCCACGCAGTCTGTTCCGACAGTCTGAGATCACAGTGGAGTGTGACTTAGTTTGTCAAATGATTCCAATCCACTCTCCCTTTTTTTTTTGGGTGGGTGGGGTGGGGGGGGGGGGGGGGGACCTCAGACAAGAGACATGTTCGCTCACACAATATACAGTCAATCCACTTGACAGTATATTCTGTGAAGCGCTTTGAGATGTCTCGAAGACGTGGATAATGCGCTATATCAAATGGGACGTGGATGTGTAACATTGGAATTATGAAGATTTTACGGTGGAAGGGTAGAGAAATAGGGTTAAGCTGTAGCTGAGCCATGATGTTACAAACCCTAGACGGGCTGAGCGGTGTGATCTTGACCCGGGTGAGAGCTGGAGAGATGGAATGATCCACGTTTTGTTCTAATGTTGAAGGCAGGCGAGCACGGGTCTGTACCTCCCTCTGTTCCTCTGTACATTATCACTGATCCCTGGATGCGCAATTGCTGTGTGTTGGATTTGAGAGGGTCAGGTCAGCTCCAGTGACAGTGGGGGTCTGCGTTTAACGAGCTCACACCTTTGCTCACCTTAAACCTGTTATTTCCCTTCCACATTATTTCACACTGGATCCGGGCTCACTGACTGCCTCTATTATCAGCTCAGTCCTGAAAGGGAATGAGACAGGCACAGGGGGATATGAGCGAAGAGTAGGGGATTGGGGTTAAGGTGGCTTCAGCAGAAAAGCGACACAGGCACTGCTACCCTGACACCGATCTCCATGTATCAGTCTCCAGCGTCTTGTTAAGGCGATCGGATGCTATTGGATATTTAGCTATGGTGCTTACTTCCACATTCCCCAAATTCCTGCTCAAATCACTTCCAACAAGACAGACATTTGTCCTCACACTTTAGAGCCGGATTGCTGCTCGGTTAAACTAAACCCAGGCTATTAATAGCTGAGCTGCCCTGAGACGGTTAAGTGGTTTGTCAATGCGTGTCTGTGGCTGGAGAGAGAGCTCACGTTTGCCACCAGGTTTCAATACATCCTGGAGCAGGGATGTGGCTCTCCTGCTCTCCCTGGTAATAAACTGACCCCCTACAGACCTGTGTGAGGTGGGCAGATTGTCAGCGCTTTTCGGGCGTTTACATACTGCGTCTTAATCCGATTTTAGACATTATTTACTCTAATATCGTCCCAGAGCCCCTGTGTAGTTCTTCCCATGGTGGAATCCGATTGGGGAACAATACAGGGGGGATAAAGTAATAATCAGAGAGCGAGAGAGCGAAATAGAGTTTTTAAAAAAAGAAACCGATTAATAAACAACGAGAAAGAGAGTAATAAGCAGAGAGAGAAATAAATAATCCGAGAAAGGGAGCGTAATATTCAGAGAGAAATAATCGGAACGAGTAATAAATAAGAGGGATACGAAGAGAAACATAAAAGGAAGAAGGTAATAAACAAAGTAATTAATAAAGAGAGTAATTATTAGCGAGAGCAATAAACAGGGAGAGGGGAAGAGGGGCAGAATGATATAATAATAATGATATAATATAATACTAATAATTATTATTATTATTAGAATGATATAAACTCGTGAGCGAGAGACCATCACACAACGAGTCCAGTTTACAGGGTGAAATCTGATGAGAAGTTTCCTGTTCTCGGCGCCATTGTCTCTTTGTTGTTCCCACAGATTAATAAATCCAATTTCTGCAAAATTGAAGAAAATAAAGACATCAAAGAGAATTGCAACGAGTCCACCGAGAAGGGCCGCGGCGCCGTGGTTTTCTCTCTGAAGAATGAGGTTGGAGGTTTGGTGAAAGCTCTGAAACTGTTCCAGGTAATGACACACCCGGAGCCCCCTCCCACACACACCCGGAGCCCCCCTCCCACACACACCCGGAGCCCCCCTCCCACACACACCCGGAGCCCCCCTCCCACACACACCCGGAGCCCCCCTCCCACACACACCCGGAGCCCCCCTCCCACACACACCCGGAGCCCCCCTCCCACACACACACCCGGAGCCCCCCTCCCACACACACCCGGAGCCCCCCTCCCACACACACCCGGAGCCCCCCTCCCACACACACCCGGAGCCCCCCTCCCACACACACCCGGAGCCCCCCTCCCACACACACCCGGAGCCCCCCTCCCACACACACCCGGAGCCCCCATCCCACACACACCCGGAGTTCTGCAGTACTCCGGGAGTGAGCTCCCCGCCACTCTGGGACTGTGATGCTCTATATTTCTGTCTGTAAACCAGATGCGGTCGGGGTTGAGGCTGAGCCCTCAGGTTGGGGTTCGCTGGCCCGGGACCCTGGGACTGTGGAGAGCTCCACTTCACACCCCCCCTCCCTCCCTCCCCCCTTTCCTCCCATCAGGAGAAACACGTGAATCTTGTCCATATTGAGTCTCGCAAATCCAAGCGCAGGAGCTCGGAGTTTGAGATCTTCCTGGACACCGACAGCAACAGCGAGCAACTGAACGAGATCATCCAGATCCTGAAGAGCCACGTCAATGTCCTACCTCTCAGCCCCCCAGACAACCAGTGTGCTCCGGGAGTGGGTAAGTGTGTCACTGTGTGTGTGTCACTGTGTGTGTGTGTGTCACTGTGTATGTCACTGTGTGTGTGTGTCACTGTGTATGTCACTGTGTGTGTCACTGTGTGTCACTGTGTGTGTGTGTCACTGTGTGTGTCACTGTGTGAGTGTGTGTGTCACTGTGTGTGTGTGTCACTGTGTGTGTGTGTCACTGTGTGTGTGTCACTGTGTGTGTGTCACTGTGTGTGTGTGTCACTGTGTATGTCACTGTGTGTGTGTGTCACTGTGTGTGTGTGTCACTGTGTGTGGTGTGTGTGTCACTGTGTGTGTGTGTCACTGTGTGTGTGTGTCACTGTGTGTGTGTGTGTCACTGTGTGTGTGTGTCACTGTGTGTGTGTGTGCTCATTGTGTGTTCGTGTGTCATTGTATGGGTGTCACTCTATGTGTATTATCACGGTTTTGTGTGTGTCCCTGTATGTGTGTGTCACCGTTATCAGTAGGTGAGTGTGTGTCGCTATATGTAGGTGTGTGTCGCTATATGTAGGTGTGTGTCGCTATATGTAGGTGTGTGTCGCTATATGTAGGTGTGTGTCGCTATATGTAGATGATGTATCGCTATATGTAGGTGTGTGTCGCTCTCTGTAGGTGTGTGTCGCTATCTGTAGATGATTTGTCGCTACATGTAGATGATTTGTCGCTATATGTAGGTGTATGTCGTTATATGTAGGTGTGTGTCGCAATATGTAGGTGTGTGTCGCTATATGTAGGTGTGTGTCGCTATATGTAGATGATGTGTCGCTATATGTAAATGATGTGTCGCTATATGTAGGTGTGTGTCGCCCACAAAATACAGTCAATCCACCTTACAACATAGCATGTGAAGCAATATCAAATATCAAATGCAAGAATCGTTATTATAGATATGTGCAGATATACACACACACGTACATCATTAGATAGACACACGCACACACATACATGAGCTACACACACATGTTTGAGAGCAGAGAACAGAAGGGACCACACACAGACACACACATACACACACTCTATCAAACAGAGTATATTCCCTCTAAATCATGTAATCTTCAGGGGTTTGTTTGTTCGCTTTCGTTGAGAAATATTAATGTGAATAGGAGATTCTCTCTGACTCGGGAGTAATAATTTCGGAAACACATTTCTCGACCCGTTTGAGTGGCTGTGAAGAGCGCTTTGAGGACCAGACACGGGTTCAGGAGGTATAATAACGACTGGGTCTCAGATCTGAATTAATCTAACACAGCATCAATGGAATACACAGTGCAATGATTACTGATTAATTGTATAACGCTGAAGGGATCTCTCTCTCTGCATTCATTAATCGTTAAATGTAATTGTTTAGATAAACTTGCTGGGAAACGTTACATTTTAACTTGTAGCATTACTATTACAGAGACAGATTAATTATTATAGATTAATATTACAGATCAATGGTAGTCTCGTTACATAAGTCTTACCGATAACAGAGGCGTCTTAGAAATATTACGAGTAATTGTAAATGATTATATAAATATATTGCGCAGACTGTCAAATGCCATATAAATATTAGAGATAAATTTAACTTATAAATATATTAGATAAACTGGAAATTATTATATGAATATATAGACTGAGATTTTTAATATAAATATTACAAAGAGGCTGTGAATTGTAATATAAATATTAGATCAACATTAAATTGTAATAAATATTGCGGGTACAGTATAACTAAATGTCACAAATAAACTGTAAATATAAACATGAGATTCTCTTCAGCTTTAATGTAAAGCTTTAAAATGTGGGCAAATGTGTAAAGAGAAGTGATGCATATCAGATCAATCTCAACACAGACCCGAATATTACGCACAACAGTTATGTACAAATATGATAGAACAGTATGTAAATATTACAGTTAGTCTGTAAATAGGTATTGCCACAGGTGTAAGTGTAGGTTGTAACTATTACAGAGAACACGACAAACGCAGTGTATTACTGTTAAAAAAACTCTGAATGTGGATCAAACTAAGCTTTTATTGTCCACAGTAAGACAGTAAGTGTGAATACACATACCAGCCGGTGAGTGTGTGCGATTAGTTGTCAGAAATATTAAGGCAATATTTGTACATAATATTCTGGTTAATGTTGAGATTGATCTGCAATATGCATCACGCCCGTTTACACGTTAACCCACATTTTAACTATTTATATTGTAGCCGAAGAGAACATCATTTATGTTTACGGTTTATTTGTGACATTCATTATCTGTAGTATTTATATTACAATTTACAGTCTATCTACACCCGAGTGCAGAAGTGCATATGTGAATGACGATTAGAAATATATAGGGTATAGAAGAGACCCGTGTATTCTCACAAGGAGACAGACAGAGAGACAGAGAGAGAGAGAGAGAACATTATAAATTTAGCCCAGGAGTAAATCTGGTAACGATGTGAACACTCAGTTAAATGCAAACCGTATAATTGCATATCACGGTGTCACCGTATCAATTACACATCAGGAATATGATGGGAAACGTGCAGGAAAAGGACCTGTGTGCTGTTCCTGGGAAATCAGCCTCCTGGCACCTTTGGCTCTGTCCCTCCCAGCCGACCCCCCCACCTCTCTCTCTCTCTCTCTCCCCCCCTCTCTCGGGGGTCCTGTCGCCGAGGTTTGGCTGCAGTGCTGACTGTCAGCTTGTCTGGTGTACACGATAGTAAGCTGTTTGGTTTGGATTGAGGACCGGAGGTCGGTGCGCCGCCGGTTGGAAGCAGCGAGTGGAGAGAGTGAGTGTGTGAGTGATCGGAGGGCTGTGCGCTCACTCTCACTCAGGGCAAGTCAGACAGACTCTCTCTCCTCTCTCTGTGTCTCAGGTCTCTGTCTGTCCAGAGTGCAGTAATATCTATAGTAATTGCCAACTCCCTCTACATCACTATGATTATCTCTGTTTACATGCCGAATAATAACTGTTGTTAATCTGCGTGACTGTCTTTTTTTTACAGATACAGCATTAATGGTTAAACCACCAATGCAAACTATTGTACTTTAATCCAGCCCTCCGTCTGTATGCAAATACCACTATGATTTAATCCATTTGACTGCCTTTATAAATACAGAATATATTGGTGAATCTGATGTTTCTGTGCAGATACAGAATTTTAGCAGTTTATAATGTATGTCTTTATCAAATACAGAATATTGGCTGCCTATAATATACTGTCTCTTTAGATACAAAATTATAGCTGGTTATAATGTAAGTGACTGTCTCTCAAAGAGACAACATGTTTTGAATTGTTTTTCGATACAGATAATGTATGGTTATAGTTACGCCTTGAAAGTTATGTTTTGAACGATTCTCTCTCTCTGTAATGTGGATTTCAGATGTGTTTTCACTTCCTGCAGATACAGAAATGTCACCTTCTTCCCCTGATCCACTACGTCTGACTCTCAACAGGTCCTTATTTGTTTGCATGGAGTTATTGCACCTTTCCCCAAATCTGCGTGTCTTGATGGAAATATTGCAAATAATTCTCATTTCTGAAACTGAGCTGTGTTTTTTGAGGATCTGGAGAGTACTTTGTCTAATTCCTGGAGAGGCTGGTGAGGTGGTGTAACAAAGAGCTTTTGTTTGTGTCTTGGGCAGATATTGAGATCACCCCATGGTTCCCCAAGAAGATCTCAGATATTGACAAATGTGCAAACCGGGTCCTGATGTACGGCTCCGACCTGGATGCTGACCATCCGGTAAGGAATGAATCTGTTTCATGTTTAATATAAAGGCTACTTTTCGCACAGTCTTTCCCACATCTCAGAACTGCTGCTTGCCTCCCACAGTCTGCCCACAATCTCCAGGTGACATAAACTAACCAGGGTTGCATTTCTTTCATCTTCTCTCATCTCTTTTATTCCACTTCAGTGGTGTCCTACAACTGTGTCCTTCAACTGGGTGTTTTGGACAATAATAATAATCCTTGCATTTGATATAGTGCCTAATCACTTCTTCGAGATGTCTCAAAGCGCTTCACAGAATATACTGTAAAGTGAATTGACTGTACATTTTGTGAAAAGCAGTAGCCAATTGCACACAGCAGAGTCCCACAAACAATCGTTGATTGAGGGACCAAATAACTATTTTTAAACTTTTTTGATGGATTATTACTCCTGGAAAAGCGATCCGCCAATTGACTAACAACCGAGTTCCTACTTCCACGTAAACAGAGGCGTGTGGAGTAAGGAAACTTGCCTTACGTTTCGCCCTGCCTGGGAATCAAACCCAGGTCCTCTCAATTGTGGGGCCAGCGTGCTAACCACTACGCTGTAGTACTCCACGATACTGTTGTTAGCATGGACAATGGCTGGCAGTTTTTTTTGTTCTTTGTTGAACAGGGCTTCAAAGACAATGTGTATCGCAAAAGAAGAGAATATTTTGCTGACCTGGCGATGGATTACAAGCAGTAAGTGAACCCCTTATCCCATCCTCACCAGGCTCCACTGCCTTTCAGTCCCTCAGCGATCGATTTCACAGTGCTCACCCAGACCTTCTAATCCCTTCATAACCTTGTCTCTCTCCATTTGAACACTTGTCCAATAATATTTTCCTACTTATGCCTTCACATCCCAAAACTAACCATGATCTGTCTCTGCAGCGGTGAGCCCATCCAACGTATAGAATACACTGAGGAGGAGGTGAAGACCTGGGGCACTGTATTCTGTGAGCTGACCAAACTCTACCCCACCCACGCCTGCAGAGAGTACCTGAAAAACCTGCCGTTGCTGACAAAGTACTGTGGCTACCGGGAGGACAACATTCCTCAACTGGAGGATGTCTCCAGGTTCCTCAAGGGTGAGTTCCAGTGACCTGCAGATACAAAAACTATTTATATATATATATAATATATAGCGTTCTTCACATGGGATAGCATCTCAGAGCACTGAGCCAGGGGGAGGTGACTGTAGGCACAGGCGGAGAAGAAGGTATGATCTGAAAAGGGGGAGGGATAGAAGGACAGAGTTGCAAAGATTTAGGCGCTAGCTGACCCAAGGTGATAGGTAGTGGAACGGGGGGGGGGGGGGGGGGGAAGTGGTCAGGTCAGAGAGGTGCCAGGGCATGAAGAGATGTATAGACGAGTGTGAGGATCTTGAAATGGTCTGTTCTATGATAGTATGGAAAAGATTTTTGATCTCAGTACAGATTTCAGTACAGTCAGAGCATCCGAGAAGTTCAGTGTCAGAGATTCCCTCTTTACAAATCCTTCACTGAAGCTCCCAATTTCAAGTCCAATGTGTTGAATAGTCACGCTGAGCGGAGGTTGCCGGATCCAGGCAGTAGCGTCCAACACTTTCTTTTCTTTTTCAGAACGCAGTGGCTTCACTATCCGTCCCGTGGCAGGCTTCCTAGCTCCTCGGGATTTCCTGGCTGGGTTGGCTTTCCGCGTTTTTCACTGCACCCAGTATGTGCGGCACAGCTCAGCCCCACTCTATACCCCTGAACCGTGAGTGCTTCAGAGTATAACACTGTGTACTTGCTTTTTGGTCATCAGTGTCTAACACATGTGGAAACCCATCACTGTGCTGAAGAGTATCCAAACCAGACTGACTGTTCCCTATAGGAGTCCTGTAGCTCAGTGGTTAGAGCATTTGCCTTGCAAGCGAGACACCTGGGTTCAATTCCAGGCAGAGGGCGAAACCTTGGGCAAGTTTCCTTACTCCACACACCTAATAATAATCCCTCCAAAACAAAAAACAATAATAAATTGTTCATTTTCAATCCACGACTGTTTGGGGGTCACTGCTGTGCGCAATTGGCTGCCGCATTTCACCCACAAACATACGGTCAATTCACTTTACAGCATATTCTGTAAAGCGCTTTGAGACGTCCAGAAGATGTGAAAAGCCCTATATCAAATGCAAGGATTATTATTATATTATTATTATATGCCACCTACACATGGATATTCCTGTGTCTGGAATGGAATGGGCACTTTCTCGCTGAAGGGACTCATCCTGCTTACCTAACTGTGGAGAATATTAGGCACAGGTTGTCAAGAATCAAGGCTTGGGGTCCCCAGTGTATGCGTTAGGACACCTGCTGACCTTAACTAGCTAGAAGTGCCATTAAAAGCACTGACTGGCAAACTTCCTGCTGCTTGTTCTACCGTTAGGGCTTTAACTTGCAGAGTTATCAGGAACTGAGTTAGAAGTCCCTGCCCCCGGTGACTGGTCTGCCCTTCCATGTCCTGCCGATGAGCCAGACTGGCTTTTCTGTCATTATCAGAATCTTTGAATACTGTGGGTCTGTCTGGCTCAGGAACCCGACTAGAGACTGCCACAGAGGGTGGGCTTGATTCTGACATTCCATTGCCAAACATATTATTTTGGAGCGAGTTCAGCTCCAAAACAGACCCTGCTTACCTTTCCCCCCAACCCCCCAAAGTAACAGTAGTGATGAGTAGGAATATAATAATATAGGAATATATCACCTGCTCAGCTAGGGGTCATATAATCCAGCTTTACTTAGCCTTACCCTCTAGCTGTGGAGTTCTCTGCCACAAACTGGACCTGAAGCAGAGTTCTTAAGTTATTTTACAAAGTTATTTTTTCCTATTTAGGAAGGGAATTAGGCAAATGTTTAAATAAGAGGATTATTCCAGGGAATGAGAGGAGAGTGGGCAAGGAGTAGTGGCTCACGAGAGAGACCAGGGCACTGTTGATAGCCCGTTGCTATGTGATTATCAGTGTCCAGCACACGGCTGAGTGTGTTTTCCAACTCTTTGCTTTGCAGTGACACCTGCCATGAGCTGTTGGGACATGTTCCTCTTTTCGCTGAGCCCAGTTTTGCCCAGTTTTCCCAGGAGATCGGCTTGGCTTCTCTGGGAGCGTCAGATGAAGCAGTGCAGAAACTAGCCACAGTAAGTGTGGACAAGTTCCTTTTACATTTGAAACATGGGAGTTAGAGACTAGAGTTCCAGCTCTAGGAGTCAGATTATTCAGTCACCACTCCAGGAGTGGTGTGATTGGTTATTAATATAATCCTGTATTTAATATAGCACCTTTCAGAGGATTTACTGCAATCCTGCAGTGCTGAATTTTTTTGTTGGCGAATGCGGTAGCCAGATTTCATAGAGCAATGTCCCACAAACACCCATGAAATTAATATGGGGGATTTTTGGCCAGGGCACCAGGAGACACTCCCTTCTCTTTTCAAGCAGTGCCATGGGATCTTTAATGTCCACCTGAAGAAGAGGTCAGGGTCTCAGTTAACAACTCATCCAAAGGATGGCACCTCCCACACTGCACTGTAGCAACTGGCTAGACTGAGAGCTCAAAGTCCTGATGTCCTGGCTTGAACCCACAACTTCCTGACTTAGATGAGCAAAATAACACAGAATGAGGCCATTCAATCCATTAACCCTAAATTGGTGCTATCCAATGGAGCCATTCATTCAAATCATGATCAGGTGTAGCCTGGGTCAGTTGGTAGCACTCTGACCATTGTGTCAGAGACCATGTACTGTATTACTTTAATATCACTGTGGCTGAATTAGAGCTGTTGACTTCCTTTAATTTGGGCCTCATTTACAGTGTTACTTCTTCACGGTGGAGTTTGGGCTGTGTAAGCAGGAAGAGCAACTGCGAGCCTATGGAGCTGGGCTGCTGTCTTCGGCCAGTGAGCTGAAGGTGAGTACAGAACAGATCATATCATACTGATCGGTTTATATGGGGGTTTAATCACAGAGCCATATACAGCCCCAGAAACTTCCCACACAGCCAGAGGCCATTCAACCCAATGTATTAATCTCAGTGTTTGCTCCTTCAACAAAGCATTTGAATGCCAATTCCCTGCTCTTTTCCCATCCCATACACTTTCATCCCCTTCCTCAACATGGATTTCTCTCATTCCTTGTTTAAAACATCCCCCCCATCAACTCTGCCCCAACAGCCAAGCCTGGCATGTTTCAGGCACTGGCCGGACCTATTGCCCAAAGAGCATTGTAAGACAGCTTGTGATTTGCCTGTTTAGCAGATTTATCCCAGTTGTTGATCTTCATTTATTTTCACTCCACCTCCCCCTCTTCTCTGGACTCCATTTTTCATGATGGCGCAGCACTCTCGGACTTCAAGTGAGCGAGTGAATGAGCAAGAGAGAGAAACACACACACAGACACACAAAACTAAAAAGACTGAATTTAGGCATTGTCTGAAATTTGAACGCTGTAAAATGCAAAGATGAGTCTAATAATAATAATCCTTCATTTGATATAGTGCCTCATCACGTCTTCTAAACGTTTCAAAATGCTTCACAGAATATACTGTAAAGTGAATTGACTGTAGATTTTCTGCGCCTCTAAGTCTAGACAGAAGTGGAATTTGTGTTCTGAGGAGCTTAAACTTTCTGGAACTCAGAGCTTGATGAGACGAACTATACCCCAACCTACTCCCCATCACAGAGATCAGCCACTCAGCACAGAGCGGTATTTGAACTTACCACCTCATTTGACTTAGTGTTGCTGGATGATAACCACTAGACCATCCATGGTGCTAGGTAAATATAGGTGAGTAACATTGCCATGACCTCTCTCTCTCTCTCTGGGACTGCAGTACGCACTCTCAGGAAATGCCAAGGTGAAGCCTTTTGATCCCAAGGTCACCTGCAAGCAAGAATGTCTCATCACCACCTACCAAGATGTCTACTTTCTTTCTGAAAGCTTTGAGGAAGCTAAGGAGAAGATGAGGTAAGAAACTTCAGATTAATTGGCAAACTCTCTGTTTAGATTGACCGACAGCAGGACTGAGATCAGTCACTCAGCACAGAGCGGGGCTGAGATCAGCAGAGTGCGGAGTGCGGGATGTGGGGTGTTAGGTTTGGGGTATAGGCTGTTGTCTTGCTTCCACTGACCTCACACTGTATGTTCTGACCCCGAAGGGAATTTGCTAAGACCATAAAGCGTCCGTTCAGCGTAAGGTATAACCCGTACACGCAAAGTGTGGAGGTACTCAAAGACACCAAGAGCATCACTAAAGTGGTGAAGGAGCTGCGTCAGGAGCTGGACATCGTGTCGGACGCCCTGAGCAGGATAAACAACGACCTGGGCATCTGAGCTTGCCGCCCGCTCGCCTGGCACTTCCCAACCCCCAACCCTCCCTCAGTCGCGCTCTCGTCCTTTCGCTCACACACAAAACATTAACCTGCAAATGCATCGTAAAGTAGACTATGAGTAACAGGACATTCATAGTGCTGTGAATGTTCTGAGCGGTGTCACCTCTGCCGTGCGTGCTAGAATTGGCTTGGAGGTTGTGCTGACGTGGCCGCCAGGGAAGGTCTTGAAGTCGAGGGCACGGGGTCGGTGAGGTCACCTCCTCCCCACTCTCACCCCATTATCCACAGCTCATTGACCCCACAGGCCCAGCAATGAGTGTGTCAGACTAGCTGTGGGTCTGATACTCTGTACACTGGCTGGCGCTGGGTTGTGGGGTTGCTGATTGGCAGCGGGGCAGGCATTGATGGACGTATTTGCAGGTTAATGTTGAACAATTCCTCAGTAAACAGTGCTATTTTACCCTCTGTGATACCTGCCCCTGATGATCTGTGCGTGGGGTTCCCGTGTCCTCAGTAGAGTATTTCTGTCTATCACTCTGCGATCACATGCTGAATGTTTCCTTTAGGGATTCACTGCTCACAGTAGCTAAAGCTATCAGATGGCGCTCAGGGTGAGGAGGGGCTCCATGGACTTGGGCCTGGATTTGGCTAACATTCTCAGGTTGGCACAACTGGGCCAGGGGTTGGGGCTCTGTCGCCAACACAGAAAATACCAATATTCCATCATCAGGCAAATCTGGCAATATGTCTCATGGAGATTTGGACCTGGAATGCCGGAGAGGTGGGAACTAGACAATAGAGAGCAGGGGCCAGAGTGACAGGAAACTTGTCCACTGATGATGAGGCGGATAGGGAGGAAAGGGAAGGAGAGAAAGGGTCAGGAAACGGACCAGAACGGAGGCAATGACCAGTGGGGTGGGGGGGAGCAGGTTTGCAGGAAGTCAGGTGGGACAAGGCCCTTGAGAGATCTGAAGGTGAGGATGAGGTGGACAATGTGTTGAAAGAGAAAGGGACTGGTCAGAGCTCGGGGCAAGATTTGAAGGAGAGGCGGCGGTCAAAGGTCAAACAAAAGCCTGAGGCCCGCAGAGGCCGTGAGGCAGAGAGGGGGAAGGTGAGGAGAGGCTGGTTGCCGAGCGGAACGCGATCAGGTTTCTCCTGAGGACTAAGAGCTTTTGCGCCTCATTGTAGGCTTCTCGTGCATGCGCTAAAGCGACAGGCTGGGCGAGTAGTAAACTGCGGTGCGGGGGCTGCTGGGATGGTGGCAGCAGCATGGGCGGGAAATGGGCTTTGCTCACTGGTGTTCCCGCCCTATTGTTACATTTGATGATTCAGGAATTGGTTCCGATATTTGTGAGCTTCATCACCGTGGCCGCAATTCCCATAAACATAGGCTCTGTCACCTCAAGTGACCGTGTAAGGATGAATGAGTGAGCTTCTTGCTGCAGTATCTAGGGTGTAGCTGTTCACTGTGATGTAACTGTGATTAACGCTGTGATTCAAGCTGCGCAGGACTGACTGAGCACATTGAGATACACTGGCATTGTATAGCCAGAGACCAGCCCTTCAGTGTAGGTAACAGCTCAGTGGGTTGTCTGTTGGCCGTACTCTACTGTAGCTTGTGTTGCCCTGTGCCAGCCTCGTGTGCCAAATCTGTGCTTGTACTTCTTCAATAAATGACTGCTTTAACTGTTCAACCAATCTCTGTGTCATACTCTTTGTTCACACACCTCTCTCTGCCGCCCGTATCCTCTCTCTTTCTCTCTCTACCGCCTCTTTCATCTCTCTCCACCAACTGTCCACACTCTCTGCAGCCTGTCTGCTAACCTGACTGATGTACCTTGTGTAGTAACCTGTATTCATATGCCTTCTGCACACTCAGGGCACACATGTACAATTTCTTGTCTGACAAAGTTTAAACATTTACACCTCGCTTTTGTTCAAATAGGCTTTTGTGATTTTCATCATCATGGCTGGCGCTTAACACCCACAACCACACACCCTCACACACACTCACACACGTACTCCCACATCCACACGGAAATATAGACATACACTCACATCACAGACCACACTCACATCACAGACCCCCACTCACACTCACATAACACACACACTCACACCACACACACCCACGTACACACATACACATAATGTGTGTGTCACTGCCTCTCTACCCAGTATCACTCACTTTATTTGTAGTGGGACTGATTTCTATTAGCACCACCCTGACACATGCATATTAGTAGACACTACCTCTCGCCACCAGCAATAACTTTTTATTATCACGCACAAATCAAACAGGCTCCTTGAGACTGGATTAAAACTTTGTTCATTGTGTAAACAGATTTAAGCATTTTCACTGTTTGCTGATTCTAACATTCTGGTAAATGAGGAGGTTCCAGGTCTTACACACAAGGAACGGTGCCTTGAGACAGTAACCTGTTAAACATAGAGAACTGTATGTAAAACAATAACGTGCTATAGAGAGAACCTTGAGTGAGAGAGGAATATCGAGAGAAACTCCCTTCTCTTTTCAAATAGCGCAATGGGATCTTTAACATCTACCTTCTCATCGGAAGGACAGCACCTCCTATCTCCCAGCACCACACTGGCCTGTCATCTTAGACTGCGAATTCCAAATCCCTGACATGAATTTAGTTGGGGGATAGATAAGCACTTGGATGTGCGGGTATTCGGGGATAGGGAGAAACAACTGTGAACTGGGATTAGAAAGATAGAGAGGGTCCATGAACATAGCAGTTAAATGTCCTCCAACTGTCGACTGCGTTCCAGCTACGGGCAGTATGTTAAAGGGCTGTGTATCAGGTGGACTGTGCTCCTAGATATGGGGGTGGGCAGTGTATACACGTACAATGGCATAAATATCCATTGTGTTTTCATGTATAACCCCCTACTCCCCCCACCCCACCCCAATCTATCCATTACAAACCCATCAGTCATCCCCAGTTATTATAATGATGACTTTCTGGCAGTAGATGGCACTGCTGTACACAGCAATTCTGATCCTCGCTCGCTCCCGAGCTCCTGGTGTGTAAATTGGAAACAAACTCAACCTGAATAACCCATTAGGTGTTCACAGCAGGTTTTCAGGTCTCAGATGATGTGACTATATGTCGGGCAACACTGCAGCACTCACTGACATCCACCACTCACTCGAACTTTGTGTGGCTCAGCAACAAGTCAAAACAATCAGAAAGTTGTATATTCAAGCCCCAAGTCGGGACTTTGCATTCAATCTAAACTGATACTCAAGTGTAGTGCTGGGGGTGTGCTGCAATGTCGGAGTTTCCATCCTTCGAATGAGACATTAAACCGAGGTCCCTTATGCTTGTTCAAGTGTATGCAAAAGATCCCATGGCACTATTTGAAAAGAGAAGGGAGTTTCTCCTCATGTCCTGGCTAACAATCCCCCAGATAAAATGTTCATTCCCTTTGATATAACTCACTCACTTGCCTCCTTCAAGGCATATCTCAAGACCCTCCTTTACGACCAAGCCTTTGGTCACCCTCCTACCCACCTTGCCCTCCGTGCCCTCTGCCCTTCCTGATACCCCCACCCCCACTCGGGTCCAAATCCCTGACTGTCCAGCAACTTGGGACGTCCTCCCGATGTGAAAGGCCCAATACGAATGTAATTTTATGATAATAATAATCCTTGAATTACATGGCAGCCTTGTTATAATAATAATAATCCTTGCATTTAGTATAGTGCCTTATAACATCTTTGAAATGTCTCAAAGCACTTAACAGAATATACTATAAAGTGAATTGACTGTATATTTTATCGGTGAAACGTGGAAGCCAATTACGCACAGCGGTGTCCCACAAACAGTCATAAATTGAGTGACCAATTTATTATTATTTTTTAAGAAATTATTACCTCCCGAAAAGCGATCTGCCAATCGACTAACAACCGGGGTTCCCAGTTACTACTAGGTAAACAGAGGCGCGTGGCGTAACAAAACTTGCCCAACGTTTCATCCTGCCGGGAATCAAACCCAGGTCTCTTGCGAGTGCTCTAACCACTGAGCTGCAGGACTTCACAATGATACAATTTTATAATGTATTGTATCTTTCAACTTCATGGCTGTTTGTGGGACATTGCTGTGTGCAAATGGCTGTTGTGTTCACTTACCTCATTGGACAGTATCTCTGGGAATGCAGCCCCCCCACTCCCTCACATCTCCCCCAAGAACTGTACTGGAGTGTTGACTGGACTGTGAGATTAAAGACCTAACATGAGGCTTGAACCCACAACAATCTGACCCAGAGACAAGAGTGTTGCCAATCAAATCAGGCTGCCAGAGCCTGGACAAGGGAATGATTCATTATGCCTTCTCCACTCTCAGACAGTAACTCCCACATCCACTGTTTACCACTGTCCACTGTTTAACATTGGTTCTAAATGCTGGCCTCTAAGACAAGTTCTCCCCTTATTGCGAGAAAATGTTAAAGCCTTTAGTCCTGAGGAGGCAACATGCCAGCTCCATGTAATATGCACTTACTGCTTCTATCGATCTGCCCAGGTAAGGAGCCAACCTCTTCCTGAGTGATTTAATGTCCTGATCCAGTAAGGAAATCAATCTGTGGCATGCTCAGGTCACATAGGGCTGTGTTCTGGCAGAGGAAGACTGCACTCTGTCATGGATTGGGAGAGAGATTCACAATCAGTCACACCGGTCAAGGAGGATTCTGCTCCTTTACCCCCACCCAGTGAATTCATTGCTGTAGACAAATTGTCGTTAAATATTAATCTTACGTTTAAAATCTCATTACTTATGGAATAAAATTACTCTGCAGTTATTGACTTTTAATAATATGGAATAATCCTTGCATTTGATATAGCACCTTATTACATCGTCTAGAAGTCATAAAGTGCTTAACAGGATGTACTGTAAAGTGGATTGACTATGCATTTTGTGAGTAAACACGACAGCCAATTTGTGCACACCTGTGTCCAACAAACAGCCATGGAATGAGTGACCAATTTTATTTTGGATATTGTTGGCCAGTACATGGGAGAAACTTCCATCTTTTGTCCAAATGTGTTGCGGGACTTTGGATTGAAGTCTCTGATGAAGGATGGAGCCTCTGACAATACAGCACTTCCCCCCTCCACACA